CTGCTGAAGAAAGGCAGGAAGCACAGCCCACAGGGCGGGAGGCACCCAGCACAGATGTGCGCCTGCATATGCGGTTACTTACTTTAAATGGGTTCATGGGATTTATATATCACCTTTGTTCCACAAGCTATTTAAATTTGCTTTGTAAAAATTCACACAGCACAATAAGATGCAGGGTTTTTTTTGTTTTTTGTTTTTCTTTTTAAAGTGGGTTTAGAAATCAGCACAAATGGGACACAGAGGGCAGGACAGATAAGAGGAAGCCAGGTGTAAAATCAGCACGAAGCACCTGCTGTGAGAAAGACAAGTCCTGTTTGCTTGCAGAACATACGTGAGGCAGATTCTGACCTTGAAGTCAAATGAAGGCCAAAGATAGACTGTCTAGAGCAGATGTTTGCCTTGCTGTTTCCTGCCCAGGTGTTCCCAGCAAGGTGACTTCTGGAAAGCACGGGAAGATTTAGAACAGCATTCTGTAAATGTTGCAAGGGAATCTTTTTCTTTTTTTAAAAAATTTTTCCCCAAGGATATTTTTTCCATTGCTTTTCAGAGAGAGCAGAAGGGGGAGAGAGAGAGAAACATCTATGTGAGAGAGAGACATCAATTGGTTGCCTCCTGCTTGTGCACCAACCGAGGCCAGGAATTGAGCCTGCAACCGAGGTACATGACCTTGGTTGGAATTGAACCCGGGACCCTTCACTCCGTGGGCCGACTAACTACTGAGCCAAACCTGCTCAGGCACAAGGGAATCTTAAGTTATATGGAATCCACTCCCAGCCAGTGCAGGAATCTCCATCACGTACATGAGTCACGTAGCTTCTACTCCAACAGCCTGAGAACAGGAGGCTGTGCTGTGAGGTTCCTTTCAGAGAGCTCTTTGCAGTGCCCTGGAGTCTGCCTCCCTGTGACTTCTCGCAGGAGTCCTGCTCCCACTTGGGAGGGTGTCTGTCTGTGTGTGTGGCAGGGGGTGGGCGTTGCTATTAACCAGATGGTTTTGTGGTAGGATGAAAAATGCCCACCCCCCAAGATATCTTGGCCAAAGATAATAATCTCTGGAACTTGTTAATGTTACCTTATTTGGGGAAAAAAGGCTTTTACAGATGTGATCGAACTAAGGATCTTAAGATCACCAGATTATTCTGGATTATCCAGGTGGTCCTAAATGCCATCACAAATGTCCTTATAAGAGAGAGAGGGGCAGACTGGACACACACACAGAGGAGGCGGCACTGGGAAGATAGAGATGGGTGTGGCCACAAGCCTAGGAATGGCAGCAGCCACCACAAGCTGCAAGAAGCAAGGAATGGATTCACCTTGGGCCTCCAAAGGACGTGTGGCCCTGCTGACACCTTGATTTCGGCCCAGTGAAGCTGACTCTGGACTTCTTGCCTCCAGAATTGGGAGAGAGTAAATTTGTCTTAAACCACCAAGCATGTGATCATTTGTTACAGCATCCACAGGAAACTAATACAGATTTCTAGGCACCTTTATGTTCTTGCCCCCTTAGCTATTTACGTGTCATGATGGGCCTTCATCATTCAATCTGCTGGCTGAGTACACTGTGGTGTGCTAACCCCTCAACATACGGAACTCAGGATACACGTCCTGATGGGCTCTCAGAGTCAACGTTAGGCAACAGGCACCTTCTAGGATTATAATGAGGATTAAATGAGTTAATAATTATGAAGCCCTTAAAATAGGGCCTGGAACAAAGTGATAGTGTATATAAATATTTGTTAAATAGGAATAAGTAGAATCCTGCTTTGGGTACTGACGGTCTTGCTGTTGTGATGCTTTTCCTCTGCTGGCTCGTCAAGGTCCAGAGAACATTTTAGTCTTGGGTTAAGCATATTTCCCTTTAGATTGTGTTCCCAGGTTCATAACGGAAGGATATGGTTAGGTGTGCTAGGTATCAAAATGGTACAACACAACCTTAAAGGATCACAGCTGTTCCACTGGGAAAGAATTAAATAAATTGTTCATGTTCTACAGCTTCGTCCCTTGAGACCAAGAACTAATATTTAAACCTGGTTTTAGTCATTTGAGTTTCCTATTTATTTAAAACTCTATTGTTCTTTATTCCTAATTGTATTTGAAGAACAGTAAATTATCTCCTTTCTTAACAAGGGAAAATAGATGCAGGGATCCCCCGTTAGACTAGGAGTGCAGACTAACATAGACCCAGGGACCCCCCTTAGAACAGGAGGGCAGACCAACATAGACCCAGGGGTTCCCCATTAGACCAGGAGTGAAGACCAACATAGACCCAGGGATCTCCATTAGACCTGGAGTAGAGGCCAAGGTTTTAGTCCCAGTTCAGTCACTATATGCTTGTGTGACCTTGAGCAAATCTCTTAACCATTCCAAGCTTCAGTTGCTTCGTATGCGACTGTGATTTTAAATGACTTTCTAGCCCCGGCCGTGTGGCTCAGTTGGTTGTACCACTGTCCATACACCAAGAGGTGGCAGGTTTGTCCCTGGTCGGGGCCTGTACCTAGGCTCTGGGTTTGAGCCCCAGTCGGGGCGCACACTGGAGGCACCCTGTTGATGTTTCTCTCACATCAATTTTTCTCCCCCTTCCTCTCTCTGATATCAATAAAAAATACTTTAAGCATTTCAGTCATTTTTTGTCTTGTAAATACCTAAAAATATTCTTTCTTTGGCTCATATATACACCATGATGTTTTCCTCCAGATTTAGCTCAAAGGGCTTCAAATACTCTGGCAGAAAATCTTTTAACAAAAGACCACTTGTCCATTTCTCATGGGCCTGTTAATGTCTATACAGGGCTCCCCCAGACTGAGTGCTTCTGGTTCTTGATGTGTTGAAAACTCAGGAGCCACCAGTGGGCTCTGTCAGTGCAGCCACTGTGTGACCCAAGACTGTGATGGCTGAGTGCACATGATTTTCAGTAAAAAAAGGTATCTAAGAGGGATTTAATTTATATCCTCAAGTGGATTTTCACATAAATACCTTTTTTACTGTTATTAGACCACATCTCAATTTGTGGGGGGAGGGTGGCTTGGAAAACAGACATCATTCTGAGCACAAGCACCACCACTACCTTATAAGTTCCCAGTGTAACAGCAATTCTGCTCTCCGAACAAGCTCTTTTAAAAAGTCAGGGCAAAACTTAATAATTATAAAATGCAGGTGGTGGATATATGTGTTTTCACTGTACAATTCTTTGAACTTTTTTGTATCTTTGAAATTTTTCATAAACTGTTGAGAATGTAGGGCCCCTGACAGAACAGAAAGAAAAGAAACTGCCTGGGCAGGCAGTGGGAGAACTGGTCACTTCCTCCAAGTGGTCCTATTGGCCATCTGAAGACAGCCTCTCTGCCTTCTTCCTGGTCTTACTCTCTTTCTCACTCCAAGGAGTGATGGAATAAATAATAAGCTGAACAGAGTCTATGATCAGAGCTGGACCAGATGAGCTTCCTCCAGCACACATCCCACAACCCTGAGCTAACGATGCTCATGGACACTCACTGCCACCAAGGAAATGCTTCATTAAAAAAGAAAGAATAACAAATACCTTTATGGTGATCAAGAGACTGGGGATGTATGGAGTATGCACTTATAAATGGGTGATGTGTTTCTCTTCATTATGAGTTAAAGATCAAAGATTTGAAAGTTATGACCAGAGTACTACATCTTCTGCCATTTTTCCTACTCCCTATTTTTACTTGACCTTTCCTTCTGGTTGAACGCCTTTGAACCACTTCTCCCTCCACCCTGACATCTACAGGCTCCATCTGGTGGTCAACATCCCATGGCTGCTGTGATGGTGCCCCAACTGGTCTTGTTTTCACCTGGGACTCTTCTCTTTAACTACCTGCTGGTTTCATTGTCCTCGGGATACAACACGACTCACGAGGCCCCTCATACTCTGACCTTCACGTGAGTTCCTACATCATGTGAAAACCCCCACTGCCCACACTAGCTCGCTGTGCTGTATACTTGCAGTTCTGTGCACACACGCCACACACTCTCCGCCCTCTAAGGACTCTCTGTGTACCACTTTTCTACCGGGGATACTGTGAGGTTCCTTTCCTTTCCTCTCCTCTTGGAAGACCTTCTCGACTTCTAAGACTGTGTATCTCCCTAGGGCCCTATACTTATAGTTTAGAGCGGTTATCACACTGTACTGTAATTAGCGACTAATATTTCCAAATCCATCACTACTCAGAGGGCCATGTGTCACTCACCACTGTATCCCAGTGTCTGACACACTCATAGTAGGTGCTCAGTAGTATCTGTTTAATGAATAAATAATGAGTGAAAGAACAAATGAGTGAAACAGGGAGAGAGAAAAGGGGAAAGGTAATATTTATTTAATAACAGCTTCACTGAGATATGATCCACTCTTATAAAGAGTACAATTCCATTGTTTTTAGTTAGTTATTTCTCGATCAGCCATTCTGAAAGGTAACTTACATTATAGGGGAAGATACTGAATTGAAAATTGACAAAAGCTTGCCCTGGCTAGAGTGACTCAGTGGTTAGAGTGTCGGCCTGTGTACCGAAGGGTAGGGGGTTCGATTCCCAGTCAAGGGCACGTCCTGGGATGCAGGTTCAATCTCCGCCCTGGTCAGGGCTTGTGAGGGAGGCAACCAATCAATGTCTCTCCCCCTCACCTCACCTCCCTTCTACTCTCTCTAAAAAGCAATGGAAAAAATATCCTCAGGTGAAGATTAAAAAAAAATTGACAAAAGCTCAGTTTATCCTGACTTTATTATGAGAAAAGTGTTTCTATTGTTATAAGAATACAAAGTATTATTTTAAATATATTATTTAAAGCCAGTAACTTAACATTAAATGAAAAGATGTAAGCATGACATAGGAATGAAACATATTTTTATATGTGGATCACGAATGCATGTTCCTCTCTTCATTTAATGCTTATCTGGAGTAGTCTACAAGTACCAATCTTCACTCGCTGCGTGTCAGTCCCTGCAGCAACGCCCTGTGTTTGTGTGAGGTTCCTGTGTATGTCTGTGTCTGTGTGTGGTTTAGTTGTTTCCTATACGTGGGGGTGAGACAATGAGGGGTGGTAGGGTTGGGTTTTCAAATGCCATAACCATCGATTTCTTAGTCAGGAATTATTTAAATCTTTACTTTATTTCACTCAACAGAAATGAGGAGTTTGGTTGTACTTATTTCTTCTTGTTTCCAGATGGAGCTGGTCAGGCCACAAATAGTGAAGACTAAAACTGTGGGAAATAGAGGAAGAGTTTGGAGCAGCACCTTCTGCTAAATCAAACCAACAAACACTATGAGGGCAGGCCCTGTGCCATGGGAGACATGGAGTCTTCAGCCATGGTCTCTCTTGGCACCAAACTTTAACCAGTCTGGGGGAGCCAGGCACAAACACACGGGCTTTTAATATAAGACATGAACAAATATGAAACATGAGCCAACATAACGGAGGTTGCAGGTGTGGTTAAGAGAGGCAAGGTAGTCAGGAGTAGAAATTAGAGGTCACAGGACTAGATGTGAAAATGGCAGCAAAAGGCAGGGATGGTGGAAGGAGAAAGGGGGGAAAGCATAAAAGAAGTTGTCAATGGGACGGACTTCAGAGTCTGAGATCCTAGCAGGAGTGAGTTGGATGGAGGTGTGAGAGAAGTTGTGAGGACAGGGCTCTCGACACAAGAAAAACACAGATGTGGATGTCATTGAGGATGGCAAAAGTGAAGGATGCTGTGACACATGTACTAATGTCCCAGAGGCAATCCAGGGCCAGGGGGCGGTTCTGGAAGGGGCCTACTTATTTACAATGACACCTGTCCAGTTTGAGAAGGACGCCTGTCTGAGTGCATCAACACTGAGGTGCTTTTGTACCTCTCAGAAGTCTTGAGACTTATAGGTGTCACAGTCACTGCCAATGTCCCACTCCATCGTCCTGAAGAAGTAGACCATGGTGCTCTCTGTCAGCAGGCCACACACGACGGCCAGGAAGGAGAGCTTGCGGCTGATGTTTAGTGTCACTGGAGAAGAAAAGGCAACTGCTAAGCTCCTCAGAGTTTAATTACATGATATTGTCATTATTAAATGATATGTAAATTATGTGGTACGAATGGAATTGTTTGTAAAGCTGCTTTTAGAAAATCTCTACTTCTTCTCTTTTGATCTATGCTGTTACCTTCTCCCACTTTCCCAGCTGCAAACCTTTTGAGAGAAGCAAAGCATCTGCTTACAACAAAAACACTCCTGAAATTAAGACACAGATTCCCATTAATATTAAAAGGGAAAATAAAATAAGGTCATAAAAAATGGGTACTCTCAGTTTTACAGGTGACGAGATGATAAGCATTATGATAAAAAGTATCAGGTAATAGCTCATTTAAAACAGCACTCCTCACAGTGTGGGAAAAGGAAGACACACAGGGTGGCTCATCCCTCCCTTGGTGGAGCAGGAATTGTCCTGGCTTGACAGCTGCCCCACCATGTAAATTTGGACAAATCATTCATAAAGTAGAGGTAATAATGGCTGCCCGGCTTACCTCACGGGACAGAGACTGTGCATATGAAAACATTCTGAAAACCAAACAGCACCATGTGGTTCAACTGAACAAAGACTAAATACGTGCTGTGTACAAAGCACTATAGAAACGTTAGGCACTGTCATTATTCTATAAAGATCTCCAGTGTTTAACAGGTTATGCAAAAACTGTGATCTAGAAATAAGGCTATAAGCGTTTGTGTGTGGGGAAAGCTGAGAAGGCAGAATACAACACAAGCATACCTCTAATTGCCTGAAAATTTGATGTGAGGACAAACACTTTAATGAGTCGCAGGCACAGCGGTGTGTACTCATGCTCCCAAATGACAGCCGGGATCAGCAGGAGTTTCCCGTAGCTGGAGAGCAGTAACGCTTTCAGCAGCAAGACGAAGTTGGGTTTCTTTCTCGTTGTGATGGATTGTTCTATCCACAGGAAAGTAAAGATGCCAATAAAAAAGGCAGCTTGTTCTGAGAAGGAAATGGGAAATGAAAATATGAATGTCCCTATCCAAATACACACACCATATCCCCATGAAAGCAAACGAACCACAACCCAAAATACAAGGTATCAGCTGGCTTCATTAAGAAAGAAAGGCTGTATCAAGGTCAAATTTTTCCCCTTCCTCCTCTTTATTTTTTGTTTTTTTGTGTCAAATCCTGCTGGTCTAATTTCAGAAATATATCTCAACAATTCTTTCATGAAGTATTTCATCATCCCACTGAAGAAAATGTAACTCCATCAGGAGGGTCATCATCGGTTTTCTGAAGTTCCTTCTCGGAAGTAAGATTCTGTTTGACCACTTAAGTGCAGGAGATTCCACGGGAGACTAAACCGAAGAACAGAGGGTTTTAAATCTGCAAGATGGGCCCTGACTCCTGAGAATTACATAGGAAGACACTTTCTTTGTTCATTCTTCCGCCATTTATTGAGTGCCCATTACCTACAGGATTTTGAATGCTCTGTCACCTACATTAAAAATGTCCCTTACTGATTTTAACAAACTAGCGCAATTCCTTATCCTTCCAGAAAGCCTTCTCGGAAGTAAGATTCTGTTTGACCACTTAAGTGCAGGAGATTCCACGGGAGACTAAACCGAAGAACAGAGGGTTTTAAATCTGCAAGATGGGCCCTGACTCCTGAGAATTACATAGGAAGACACTTTCTTTGTTCATTCTTCCGCCATTTATTGAGTGCCCATTACCTACAGGATTTTGAATGCTCTGTCACCTACATTAAAAATGTCCCTTACTGATTTTAACAAACTAGCGCAATTCCTTATCCTTCCAGAAAGCCTTCTCGGAAGTAAGATTCTGTTTGACCACTTAAGTGCAGGAGATTCCACGGGAGACTAAACCGAAGAACAGAGGGTTTTAAATCTGCAAGATGGGCCCTGACTCCTGAGAATTACATAGGAAGACACTTTCTTTGTTCATTCTTCCGCCATTTATTGAGTGCCCATTACCTACAGGATTTTGAATGCTCTGTCACCTACATTAAAAATGTCCCTTACTGATTTTAACAAACTAGCGCAATTCCTTATCCTTCCAGAAAGCCTTCTCGGAAGTAAGATTCTGTTTGACCACTTAAGTGCAGGAGATTCCACGGGAGACTAAACCGAAGAACAGAGGGTTTTAAATCTGCAAGATGGGCCCTGACTCCTGAGAATTACATAGGAAGACACTTTCTTTGTTCATTCTTCCGCCATTTATTGAGTGCCCATTACCTACAGGATTTTGAATGCTCTGTCACCTACATTAAAAATGTCCCTTACTGATTTTAACAAACTAGCGCAATTCCTTATCCTTCCAGAAAGCATTCATAGACAGAGTCCGTAAAGCAGTTTACCTTTAGAAATGTTAAGAGGCTTTGCTTTAAAGCTTAAAATTACATCAGGTTCTAGTTCTTGGCTTAGGTGGTGTGTTTAAGGATATATATATATATACACTTTAATATATCTTTATTGATTTCAGAGAGAGACAGAAACATCAATGAGGAGAGAGTCATTGATCTGCCACCCCCTGCACACCCCTCACTGGGGATCGAGCCCACAACCTGCAACCCGGGCATGTGCCCTGATTGGGAATCGAACCCTGATCGCCTGGATCCTAGGTCGATGCTCAACCGCTGAGCCACGCCCGGCCGGGCCAAAGATATTTTTAATATTACTATGTACATTTGGGAATCCTCAGCATGTAGATGAATTTTAAAACCATGAGGCTGGATGAGTGGACCCAGGGAGGAAGGGCAGATAGAGAAGGGAACCAAAGAGGACATAGGGTCCAGAAACAGGACACTGGAGTGGATTATAATGCTTCATAATAATCAAAGAATTTTAGGAGCAGAGAAGCATGGAAACCAGTAAGTAATAAAATAGTCACAGAAATGAACACAACACAATTCTGACCTGTCACAAATTCAAATTCTGCAGTAAAGCAATTCCTGAACTTAAGGAATTTCAGATAGTAGTCAATTTCCCTGTATGCAGTCAGATAAATAATAGGTTTTCCCTGTTAAATACACTCCATTAGTAGAATACATTGGATAATGCCTGGCAATTATCAATCTGTTTTAGTAAAGATGGGGCCTGGGTCATTTTCAAATTGGAAAATTAGAACTTAAATTTAAGGATTTATCAACAATATTATGTCTCAAAACATTTTATGAAACTCTTTAATCTGCTAATATCCATCAGATGGATAAAGACAATTTAATCTGATGGTATTTCCATACCACAGGTGTGGTAACAAATAAAAAAGTAAGAAAGCAGGTAATTTAGACAAACTCACTCAGCAGGTTAGTGGTAGAGCTGAAAACTAAGCCTCAAGTCCTATGTTAACTAGCTCCTCTTACCATGCGCCTTATTTTTAATAACAGAAGCAAGCACTAGCTAACTAAGAACAGAAAGCATGGCTTGTCCTACCTAGAGAAGCAATTGCAAACATCCTATAGAAATCCCACTCCTTAGCATATCTGATAAAGTCGTCAGGATCGGTGTTCTGGCTTGAATCTTGCAGCTGCCACCACCTCAGGTAGGCTTCACAAAGCAAACAAAATATGCAGAGTTTCCCATGCATCTGGTAGTCAAAAAGACATTGCCAATTAGGTAGAGAAGCACTTAACTGTACTTAATTCCAAAGGTACAGACACAGTATGTGTTTGTGGTTTTGGAAAACGTCCGATCTAGTAGCTTTTCAAATTCCGAACTGCCCACTTAAGAGCGTAATTGCATTCAATCTGTAAACCAGCGGGTCTTTCTTTCTTTCTTTTTTTAAACCAGTGGTTCTTAATTAGCAATGTCTTGATCATAATCACAAGGGGAGACTTTTCAAAATGCCAATGTCTAGGCCCCAATCCTGATTTGGAGTCTTTGGGAGTACATTCTAGATACGCATACTTTGAAACACTGAACTAGGGGATCTTGATGTGCACCCCTAGTTAAGAATCGTGGCTTTAAACAGAAGTTCACCCTGCATCAAAATTTCAACAGTTGGCTTACAGACAGAATCAAGCACAGGCTTTATGTGCCTTGTGGGTAGGTGGAAATAGCAAAACAGAGATTTAATCTGAGGATTCCATGATAGCGCCTAAGAAACCATTCGTCTGAAGGTGAATTTTTAAAAAATGCCCCTAGGCTGGATGAGTATAAATAGATTGGAAGATAGCAAGTAAAAGGTGCAAGTCAGCTGGGAATTTTAAAGGGTGTGAAGTTTGTTTTTGTCTTATCTGTTTCTCCTGTGGGTTGAACTTGATCAATACAAAGTGGAAACAGTGTGTGCAAACCCACTGCAGTCCTGGGACAGGCATCAGTGTGAGCTCCTGGCTGCACTGCAGCTTTGAAAGATAGATGCCTGGACCCCCGTCCCCAAAGATTCTGATTTAATTGGATTTGACTGAGGCTTTGACTTGGAAGGATTAAGCACAGTCCCCTCCCTCCCTTCCAGGTGACTCCATGTGCAGCAAAGTTTGAGGATCAATGCTCCAGTAATTTAAAAACTGCCCTGGTTATTTAACTTGGGGGGAGGGGGGAATAAATAAATTTCACTGTTACTGTCCATGTTAGCCCAAACTCAGGGTTGCCAGATTTAGCAAGTAAAAATACAGGACATCCAGTTAAATATGAGTTTCAGATAAACAAATAACTTTTTGTATATGTATGTCCCATGCAATATTTGGGATATACACTAAAAATTACTTGTTGTTTATCTGATTTTCAATTTTAATTGGGTGTTCTGTATTTTATGTCAGTCCAACCCAAACTATTGAAGAGTTCACAATCCAATACACTAAATGTGTATTTTGAAAAATCCAATTTATAAATGAGGGCTTTTCTGATTAAGTTCAATGTTGTTACTCACCTCATGCATTCCCCCAAGAGCAAAGTATAAAATGCAATAAGTTATATTTTTAAATATTTTGCTTTTAATGTTTGCTTATTTCTTACAGGTGTAATTCTCTCCCTACCTGATATATTTAATTTTATTTTGTTAAAAACAATTGACGTCTGTTTCAAAAAAGGTAACCCAGATTATGGTTTGTGAGTTTCCTACCAGTGACCACATTCTTAAATATTCACTAAACACTGTGTACTTTTTTTAAAAAAACTGATTATTTCTAGAAACTTCCACACATCATCAAATAAAGAACCCACCCTCACTAGGATTTCTTTTAAATAAAATGTTCTCCAATTCTGTTCAAAATTATTCTTTTAAAATGTAAAAGTATCATCAAGCAAGATTAGAAATATAAAAAAAATTATTACAACTTACGTTTATTTTAGTATTGAAAAGAATATGCCTGTAGGCCTGGGCTTTGCATAAAATAGCATTAATCAAAATTATAACAGGATCATACTCGATATATTTGTCTACAGGTTTCTGGCAGGATTTCTGAAATAATGCAAAATAATATTAGAACAAGCAAATTCACACATTCTGAAATCTTAAAGGATTTCAAAATAACAGACTATTTTGGACTTGTAAACAATAAGGCCATAACAGCATTTACTTAAATAAACTTCCATCCAGATACAAACTGTTCATCTAATCAAGACAAGGTTTCAGAAATGACTAAATATAATCTCCTAGGCTAGAAATATTCATCTTTTAATTTCATATTTAAGAAGCTAAAAAGATACTTGATTTAAAGACTGATTTTAGCAGGAAAGTATCCCAGAAAATTCTACTTTCAATTTGTAGGAGTTGTTATAAATTTATAATATACTTTCACTGATAAATTGTTGCCTGTTGGACAGATGACCCCCAACTTCGTGGTTCTTGAAACATGATTTGGAAAAAAGGGTTCAGAAAAGTAACCCTTACCCCAGAGCTTCTGAGAGCTACAGGTGGAAGGATGTGGCACAGTGCCAACAATCCTGGGTTGCCTCCAAGAGAAGCCTTTTTTCCCCAGTAACATTGAGGATATGTGTCTGCTCTAGTAGACACCCTGGAAAGTGCCGGCTGTGTGTAAGGAGCTGGGTTGTGCAGCCTGGTTCTAGGTTATCCAAATCAAGGCTCCCAGGGCTCTCAGCAATTCCTATTAAATGTGTTGTGTGTGGGGTTTTTTGGGACACGTGATTACATTGTTATCAAATCCCAACACCATTAGAACATATAAAATGTAGGTGTAGCCCTGGCCAGGAAGCTCAGCTGGTTAGAGTCATGCCCTGATACGCCAAGGTTATGGCTTCCATCCCCAGTCAGCTCAGGGCACATACAAGGAAAACAAATGAATATTTCTCTCTCAAATCAATCAATAAAAATTTTTTAAATGTAGGTATATAGGAACAAACTCATTAGAAATGAACTTGAAACAGTATTAGTTACAAAATTTCATCAAAAATGGCTACAATTCAAACACAACATTTTGAAACTTTGAGAGATGAAAGATTAATAGAAATGATGGAAATGCAAACATAGTAGGATGGCGTTTTAATTACATCAAAGTGTAGAAGAAACATGACGTGCACTGAAGAGTATTAACCCTGTATTCCAGGTGTAAGGAAAGACCAGATTCACTTCCAACTTATAGTTGCCCCACATCATTCACATCACAAGATGTGAGCATGTTTTCCACCCACCCAGTGAACCAATGAAGGGAGATATGCCAGGACCTCAAATTTAAACCACCTAATAAAGTGGAGGCATGAGAGGTTACTAATTTTGCAGCTTTTTAGCTGAGCAAAGACTAAGCCAGTGTCTAAACAGAAGCCACAGCATCAGAAATTCTATATTCATGACAAAGAGCTGTTTTCTAGATCGCCTCCCTGTGCTACGTGGGGAACACTTCCTCCCTCATATGGATGAGATTGGATGACCAGAGATGCTACTTCTTTTAAAATGAAACCACTAACTGGTTAAGGGTCCTCTCTCTGGTCTTTACAAGTTCTCTAATACCCATCTTCAGACAGCACCTCAAGTCTAAGACAGGATTGGGATGGTTTTTAGGAGACAGGCAGAAACCAGCAGCAGGAGACACAGCAGCACAGTTATTCCTCTGGCAGTCACTTGTCTGACAAATGTCTCTGGAGTGGCCATTACATTCAAAACAACAGCTCTCCATCCTTAGCTGTTTCTGAGGACCAGGCACTTCCAAGGTGCTGCATAGTCACCTGGAGCCCCAAGTCTCTATCCTCAAGGACCTCGCAGTCTAGAAGGGAAGACAAACACGCCACTGTAAGTGCTACAGTGGAATGAGCACAGGCTGATATGACCCAAATAGAAGCGGCAGCTTCTGGTACCATGTGATACGCCACGCGCTATGCCCACCTTCCCTTAGAGCATAAACACCAAGAGTCCATTAGAGGCTGCTGGTGCCCTTCCTATCAGCTTAGGCCCATTTCTCCCTTGTCCTGACTCTATTATCTGCTTTTCCCTCGAGTGCTTCCTTTGCCTTGAATGTAAGGAGTAAAACCACACATACGGCAACAAACGAATGTAGTAAAACATCCTATTGGGAGATAGCTAAATTCAGTAGATAAGTTTTTGGGTGGTTTTTTTTTTTTTTCCCCAAAATTGTTCTATTCCATATCATTTATTACTTAATAGACAAGCATCCTGAAAGAGCAATTTGTCCTTGAAGACCTCGCTGCAGCACAGGGACCATGTGCACCCTGGGAACTGCAACAGTGCCCTCTGACCTGTCTTAACATGGACACGACTTATGTTCTGCAGTTCCCTAACGAATCGCATCTCTTTCAGAATATCAATTGGCCAATTTTGTCACGAATGTTCCTGCTGCTTCCCATCATCTCTAGGGCTATCTCCATTCCCATTCATTCTCAAATCTGTTTAGTTTTAGCTCCACAGTAAACAAACACATCTTAAAGGTGGAACTCACTAGATTTTAGGCTCTTTGAGGGCAGGGCTGTGTCTTACTCATCTGTGCACCCAGCACCCAGAAGTGGCTGTTAAATGCTGCGCTGCTGAACAGAACCGACACTTATGGAATGTCACAGGAGCCCTGTTTTATTTTGTTATCATAATGAGTTTATCAAACATCTGAGCACTTAGTAGGCCAGGCACTGGAAGATATAAAAGTACTCTATCTTTAAGCATAATTATAATGAACTATGAAAAGCTGAAGCAGAGGGAATGGCTAAAAGCAAGAGACATGCTTCCATTGGATGGAGGAAAATTAGGGAAAAGAAAGGCAGGCTGGGAGGAATGGCAACGGAAAAACACGAAGTACAAAGGGAAGGGAGATCGGGATGACCACACTGCTGACTCCAGATACACAGGGAAGAGACCAAAGTATGTCTGAGTTACTAGTTGTAAGACCACCTAGAAACTTTGGGTGTTTTTTCACAACACATAGCCTGATGTCTAAAAACTTTTTACTTTTTAATCTCAGGTTTGGAGAGACTGTTAAAAATTATATTATGTTATAATATTTAGAGTGTAGCAGCAACAAAATGATCTGTCCTGTGTGATGCTATTAGGTGTATTACTAAGCATTAGCATAGTAAGAATGCGGACATTACGCACACCCATTAGCGAATGACTCTATACAGTACTGAACCCATAAGGTACAGTACCCCAGTCAACATTCCAAATATGACTCTCAAATCTATCTCTTGGGTGACAAAGTACAATGTGGGGGAAGTGAGGGAGGTTGTAGCCATTGACCTAAACAGCTATCCAATAGTTATCTTATCTTTCCATAAATCAAAGTATGGAGAAGCTGATAGTTAGGAAAGGGGTTTCATTGTTACCTTAATGCCAGCAATTAAGAAAGTAAAGGTTATTTTATATTATTAAACATTACTAACTAAAATGCATATACAGGCACTAGTTTTTCTTTGGACAAAAGGCTATATTCACTATTATGTGGTTGTCATCTTTCAGACGGACCATTTAATTGGACCAGTCCAAAGGTCATTAAGTTTAGACCACATATAACTTACTGCTCTCTCTCACACCAGGATGGCTAAGTATAGTATCATCTAAAAACCTAGAAATGGTTTATTCATTCAACAGGTATTTTTCAAGTACCTACTATGTATTAGGCACTGTCTTGGGTGATCCAGCTACATTAATGAACAAAATATGCAGTCTTTGGTTTGACCAAAGGAATGGCATTATCTAACTTATATTTTTAAAAAGTCAGTCTGGCTGCTGTGTGAAGAGACTGAAGAGGTACAAGGGTGACAGAGCGAGACCAGCTTAGAGTTATGACAATGGTCCCGACGAGGCATGATGGTGGCTTGGACTATGAATGCAGCACAGAGGTGGTGAAGAGGTGGATTCTATCATTATTTGAAGGTAGAACAAACATGATTCGCTAAGCAAATAAACAGGAATGTGAAGGAAAGAGAAAAATGAAGGATGACTCCAGATTTTTTTGCTCTTAAGAACTAAGTTCCCATTCACTGTGAGGGTTTGAGATAACTATTGAAATCCAAGGGGAGAGAAGTTGGATATCTGAGTCTGGAGTTCAAGGGAGAGGTTCAGGCTGAGTGTATCTCAATAATCTGGGGACTGTCAAATTTAGGTGGTATTTAAGGTCATGAGCAAGAATGGGCTCTTCAAAGGAGTGTAAACAGAACAAGGCCCAAGAATGGGGCCTTGGGGTTAGGAAATAAGGGTGGTAAGACAGAACCAGAAAGGAGAGTGAGAGAAAATAGCCAGTGAGATAAGGAGAGAAAGAGAGGAGCATGGTGTCCTGGCAATTGCACAGGGGGGTTTCCAGGAGGAGGAAGCAATGAGGTCAAACCCTGCTGATAGTTAACTGAGAAGGGGCTGGCAAAGTGGAAGTCAGTGGTGACCTTAACGAGAATAGTTTCTTATGAAACGGTGGGTGGAATTTGAAAGTCTGAGGGAGGTTCAAGGGAAACCAGCAGAGGAGATAAAGACAGCAGGTACAGACATCTCTTAAATAATTTTTTTGTCAGCGGGGGAGGGAGGTGAGGAAGCAGGAGCGAGAGGAGGAAGTGCGGTCAAGAATTTAGTTTTTAAAGAAATAATGATACATACGTTGGTGGGCGTGATCCAGCAGGGAGCAGAAGGGCATGTCCTGCAGTAAATGGAGAGGATGGGACCCCGTGCGCAAGTGAAGGCACTGCCTTTAGACAGGGAGTCCCTCAGTTCAGACACAGGAACAGAAGGGAAGACGATATGAATAGCAAATTTAGTACTGGGTTTGTGTGTTTGCAAAGCTGGTGGTCGCTCTCTGTTTTCTTCGTGAAACGGGAGAGGATATACGGGAAACTTGAGGACAGAGGAGGTGTTTTTTGGATTGTTCAGAACACTGGGAAAGTGAATGGACCAGTGAAACACAAGGTGATGGCCAGACGGCATCGAGGGCCTACCTGAGGTGAGTGCTCAGGGCTGCACGGCACTTTCCCCCAGCACTGTGCAGCTGCAAGTGTGCAGATCACACAATACGTTGGGTTTAACCAGGGTTGAAATTTTTCCAAGCAAAGGAAAGCATCTGAGAGAGGAATGTAAACTGAGGGAGCATGAGCCCGAGTGATCATACTGGTTGACAATAAACAGATACAGTCACTCCTTGTCTACTCCCTTGTACATAACTACAGGCCATGTTTCTCTAATCGCCAGATCAGAAACAGGACAGGAACATACTGATTGCCTATCACGCGACAGGCTCTTTGCTAATGCCCTCGATTTTGTGACTTTTGAAACAGAAGCCCATTCTTTATAATCGGGCTATGAACACCTTGAGAGCAGAATTATTACTCCCTCGTTTTCCGTTTTTGTATACCAACCCCTAGCACCGCGCTTTGTGCACAACACTGTACATTCGATAAGCACAATGCATGAAGCCTAAAATATATATATATATTTCAGGAGAATTAAAATGGGGTATGGAGTGTAAGAATGCTAACGCTTGTCTAGCAAGGGGAGAGTATCTAAAAATAAAGCAGCTTTAGCGTGAGCCCTATTGTCAACCGACTCAGATCTTTGCATTTCTCTGCACAACACCTACATCCGTCTGCGCCCAAGGATCCGTTCGCAGGGTAAGGGCTCCCCAGCAAACCCGACGGACACAGGAAAAGCAGCGCAGGGCCGCGGGTTCTCGCTACAGGTATACACACGAAGGCGGGACGGACGGGCAGGGGGGGCGGCTGACTGAACACTGTACCGGGAGGTCCTCAAGCTCGATTTTTTTTTATCACCCGAAAAAGGTGGTGCAGATTGGTCCCCAAATCTCGCCAGGCCGTTTTGTTCCCAAGGACACCCCACACCTGACAACTCACGCAGATGGTTATCTTCAGCACGCCGTGGTTGTAGTCTCGGTACAGCTCCTTGGCCTCTTGGTTGCATTCGATACACCTGTACTGGCAGGAGGCCGAGGCGGCAGCAGCAGCAGCAGCAGGAGTCGCTGACACCTCTTCGAGGCGGCCCTTGCCCGCTGTCATCCCGTCAGGACTCCCCTTGCCCGGCCGTAGCCCACCCCTCCCGCCGGTGCCCATTTCTAAGCAACCGAAGCCCAGAACTTCCGATTCAGTGGCCGCGGAAGACGTCAGACGCCAGACCGGAAAGTCTGCGCCGCGCGGTGCTTGCTGGAATTCGTAGTCCCGACACTTGAAAGGGGCCCCCGAGGCTGGTCCAGCCGGGACTACAACTCCCAGAAGGCAATGCCACGTTCCGTCTCCGCCCTCCTTCCCACCGCCCACCTGCCAGGCGCGGGTTAAGTCCCNCCGGAGGCCGCCGCGCGCGGCGAGGGCCGCCGCACATGCGCCTTGAGGGAAGATGGCACCTGCCGGCTGCCGCTGCTGCTGTTGCTGCTGCTGGGGAGGCGCTGTGGCCGCCGCGGGCGCCGCCCGGCGCGTCC